CATAAAAAGGAGTAAAATATTTTTTCAATAATAAAATAATATTAATTACTTTGCATCATTAGATTATACAATTTTTATCGAATATTTCTAATTTTTACAATAAAAATACACCATTTATTTCTTCTTTTTTTTTTCATCTTTTATTATCTATTCTATTTATTACTCTTTATCTTCTTTCTTTTTATATTCTCTATTCTACTTTTATTCTTTCTTCATCTTCATCTACTTCTTACTTTCTTTTTATTCTTTTATATCTTTCTCTTCTTTTTTTCTATTATTTGCTTTTTCGTTGTCGTATTCAATCATTAAACATATTTTTGTTTTTAATTTATTTCTTCATTATTTAGAGTGTTGATGTGTTATTTTTCTTTTGTTCAACAGTATATATCTTCTACCAACTTCATATGTCTGTGTTTTATTTTTTTTCACTTCTTGTTTATTGATTCTTAAGAAAAGATACTTTATTCTGTATTTTCACATATTCTATATCTAATTTCTCATCTGTATGTTATTCTGTTGTTTCTTTTCATTTATTTTCATTTGTTTGTTGTTCTTTTCTTCTTAATTCTTTATCTTCTGTTTGTATTTTCTTCTCCATCATTTTGTTATTCATTTTCTCATTTTCACTTCTTCTATATTATTTATTGTTTTTTCATATAGATTTCATCATCACTCATATTTCTTCTCCTATTTATCTATTATCTTTTCATTTGTTTTTTTTTTTTTGATGAATTATTTTACTTTGTTTTTCATTCTTTTCTTTTATTTCTTTATGAATATAATAGTACATTTCTTCTGCATTATAAAATCATATCTCTAAAAACCACCAAATATCATTTTATTCTTTGTTTTGTGGTTTGTTTCATTCTTAATTATATTCAAAACATCATTACATTGACTTTTTTATTCTTTGTTATATTCATCAATTTGTTCATTTATTATCTTTCTGCTTCTTATATTTCACTTCTATTATGAACATTACCATCTTGTATTTCTATTCTCAATATAACATATTTCTTTATTCTCTAGTTTTGTATTTACTTCTTTCAAAGCATTCTTTTCACTCTGAATTTACCATTTGTACTTTCCGTCGTTTGTTCTTCAGTTGTTAAATAATTGAATTTGTTTCATTATTCGTTTTCTACTTTAACTGTATGAGTTTGATTATTGAATCATTCATTTAAATCGATAAAATGAGTTTAAGTAATATATTAATAAATTTACAAATGAAAATAACAGCTAAACACAAGACAAGTTCCAAAGAAAGGTATATAAATAAAGTATAAAGAATAAAACATTCTATTGATCGCTAATTAAAAATATAAAAACAGAGAGTTACTTTTTTTCAGCTATGCCACCAAAAAAACTATATTCTAATGTAACTGTTTTGTATAATAATCAACTGTAATACCAAATCTTATGTAAAGCAACTATTTTAAATTTTTTAGAAATAATTATTTTATGAGTAAGTACGTTATGCTTTTCTTATTTAAAAAGTCTGTTTTAATGTTATCATATTACATTCTAATTATATTGAGAAAAAGGAATTAATAAAAGTCGTTTGAATCTAATAATAAAATAAGCGTTTAAATGTCAACCCGTTCTATAAATGAATTTTGTTACATTCTTAAAACTCAAAAAAAAATTTATAATTCATATCCTTCTTTATATTATATAATTAATGAAAGCTGAACAATAATATTATTCTGTTGTTTGGTTAGAGGATTGTTGATTACATACGTATTTACTATGAAAGTTGAATTCATAAGATATTGTTCAATAAATTGATTTAATTGGTCTTCGTTCATAATTTTAAATACACCAATCAATTTTTTCTGTTAGTTAATAAAAACAGTATCTTTTATCATAACGAATATTAAACAACAAACATTTAATTGATGAGAAAGTTGATAGATTGTTGTATGTTTAGAATTTAATTCTTCTAAATATAAACTGAAATGACCTTGTTGAATAAAAAGATCATTTTCTTTTTCACATTCTAATTTATATTTAGAAAATTGAACTGATTTCCAACAGCATTCTTTTTGACTAATCTGGTTTAATTGATTAATCAATTCTTCGTTTTGTGTCATTTCTTCTAAACTTCTTTTTGTCGATATTTCATTCATTTCTTTTTTTCTTTTTCTTTGTTCATTTTCGTTGAGTACTTCTTCAGTTTGAGTGGGTATTAGTAATTCTTCTAATTTAATCTCTTTTTCTGAATCATTCTGTTTTTTAAATTCTTTAGTTTGTGAGAGATTTGGTGATTCTATTTTAATAGAATTGGTGTTAAAATTATTATTAATAGGAACAACAGGAGTAGAAGAATAAAACACCTCTTGACTACTAATAGAATCATTTTTATTATTCATTTTATCATATAACCATTTCCTTTTAGTTTCAATTGGTTTTTCTTTCCATTCTTCACTGTCTACTTTTGGTGGAAATAACAACTTCATCTTAATTTCACTACTTCTTTTCTTTTTTATTTTATCTTTAACAGTTTCTTGTTCTTTTATTATTTTATCTTGAGAATTATACTCTTTTACATCTGATGACTCTTGAGTAAGTAATGATGAAATTGTTATTGATGTCTCAGTATTTCTTGATTGAGTTCTTTCAGTACTTTGAGCGAATTTACCTGAACCATTTTCTTCGTTATTTTCTTTAGTTTTATCATCGTTGGATATTTGTTGGTCTAACTCATTAATTATTGAGTCTATATCAGATTGATGTATTTGTGAAGAATGACAATTATTATCATTATTTTCTTCTTCTAAGTCAATACTAACTTCATTTGAATCTATTAATGTATTTTTGTTTTTAGAAGGCATAACAACAACGTTATCTGTTAATTGGTTGAATTTTTGTTTATTAGATAAACAACAGTCTTGTTCTGTGACATTAACATTAGAAACATTTAATGAAGGAATGAATAGCTCCTTATCAACACTTTTTTTACTTAATATAGACTTACTTAATTCATTTTCATCAGTTGTTAATAAAAAGTCATCTTTGGGTTGTAAAAGTATTTCATCTAATTTTTTTTTAATAATGTCTTCTCCCTGTGAGTCATTACATTGTGACTTCATTTCATAAATTAATTCTGGTTCATTAGACATTCTTGTGATTAACTCAGAGCCAAATTGATGATTAACAGCAAAAGCATTTTTAATAATTTCAACTTTCTTACGAGAAACTTGAGGATCATTTACTACTAAGGTTTCCATATATCCATTTGGTAAGTCTATACCAATTTCTGAAGTAGACTTGAAAAGAAACTCTCCATTTATTACTTTAACCCAAGTATTTTCATTAGCTCGTATTTCTTCTTTATATTCGAGATAATATAAATCACCAATTCCAATCATTTGATCTAATCCTTGAAGATATTCATGTTTGTCTGACATATAACGATTAATAACTGCTTCATTATAACCTATAAAAAAAGAAACATATTTCTTTCCATTTATTTCTTTAACAGGAAATAAAACATATCCAATAAAATCATAGAAATAACCTTGCACCCTCCATTTATGAACAACTGAAATACTAATTTCATTAATTTCTCCTTTTCCTGATAAATAATTAATATTTGAACAAAAAGAACGATCTGTAGGATTCATATTACCACAATAATTACCCGAACCTCCTGGAAAAAAAACATACTTTAAAGAGTCATGATATATCCATATTTGAGTTAGAGAAATTAATGGGTTAGAAAAATCAACTAATTCTAATACTATTTGATGTGGATTTTCTTGTGAAACCATATAAGAACAAGCAGCAGGGTTAACAATAACTATTTTATCATGAGGAACACATATGTCTTCTTCTAAAGCTCGACAAGATAAACTAGTAACATCTGGATTAAATAAATTTGGTAAAAACTTTAAAACAAGACTATATGTTCCATTTCCAAGTGTGACAAAAGCAGGTTTGTTTGTATGGTGAATGTATGATATAATTTCACCAGAAATACAAAATAAGTGAAGAGTTTGTTGTTGATATTTTGAAGGAATTTCTGATATTTGAATAAATGAAAGTAAATCACATTTAGGAGATAATAAAGGGGTATTAATCTTTTGAGTTGTTGATTGACGTTTCTTATTTTTCTTTCGAAAAGGTGGTGCGAGATTGTTTTCCATTAATTTATTTCACACTAACTTTTTGTTTTTCAGATAAATTTAACTTTTCATTCAAAAATAAAAAAGAAAAAATCAAAAATTTAATTATGAAAAACAAAAAATATTAACATTTCTTAAATTTATGGGATTAAAAAGAGAAAAAATCTTGTCAATCTCTTTCAATCTCATATTATTATTATGTCCCAACAAGTTGAAGATAGTTTTCCACGTAAAATATTAAAAATTGCAGCTGCACAAATTGCAATGAGTGCTGGATATACTGATGCTAAAGAATCAGCACTTGAGACAATTGCTGACGTCATGGAAATGTATATCCAAGAAATAGGTAAAAAAACACATCAAATAAGTGAGCATAATGGAAGAACTGAATCAAGTTTTATTGATTTATTATTTGCAATGGAACAACTTGGAATTGATATCTTCAGCTTTGGTGATTATGTAACAAAAGAAGACAAGTTATTCATTGATGGAATTCCTGAATTTCCTGTAATCAAAGCAACAGATGAAATTCCAATTGAGAAACAACATAACGAAGAAAAGCCATATATTCCTGGGTTTTTACCTCCTTTACCTGATGCAAGAACATACAAAAATACTCCAATTTATCAAAAAAGACATACAGATGGTATTTCATTGAGAAAAGAAGAACTTAAAGTTCGTCATCTCAATGAAGATGCTTTGATTAATTTGAAAAACAAAATTAATGGTGAAATGAAAGTAAATTATGAAAATGGAATGGAAGAGGAACAACAAATTAAATAATTTTATTATTTATATAACTTCTTTCATTATGTTAAATATTCTAAATTATTGTAATACAATAAACCTACTTATTTCGAACAACTATTTTTTCTAATTCTAATGAAGAAGAATAGATAAATATTTTAGAGCTTTAATTAAAAAATGAAAGTGTTTTTTATGATTTTGAATTATTGTTGGTTTGAGTATTTATTTTATTGTCACTTTTATTTTATTAAATTATTGCAGAAACATCATGGTGTATAATTTATATTACTTTTTTTGTAAAGATATTGACAATAGCAAACAATTAATAAAATAACAGTTTATATAAGATAGGTCATATTACCATTTAGTCAAATAGTAATACAAATTCTTGAACAGTCAATCTTTTTATGCTAACAAATAGGAAAATTAAATAACTGTATTATCAAATAATTTATTTCGTAGTTATATTATTATTTTTTTTATTTTTATGAGATATTCCTTAAAATAATATTTAAATATAATATAACTACTACCTTTTTACATTATATCTGAATTGGTAATTCTTTTCATTGTTCTTCCATAGTATTTTTAGAGATTCTTTAGAGATTATGATGATAAACTTCAAGATATTCTTTTTATTATTTTATTTTCATAAGACTAAAATATTTATATCTTTGTCTTTATTTAAGACTTCTTTTTATTTAATTCTATAAAAAAAACTTCTTTATGAAAAACACCCTATTGAAAAGGAGTAGAGTGATAAAAGTTGATAGACATTAAGTCTAATAATTAATTATCCAAAGTACTTAGTTAAATGAGACTTGATTTGTTAATAATATTTATAATTGTAGTATGGCATAATAATTTAACTAAAAAAAACAAATAATTATTACTGAGATAATAATGATTATTTTCTTCTTTAAGTAATTTGATATTAAGCAATTATTGTAAATCTTTTTCATAACAAATTTAATTTTTTTTTCATTAACATTATTTTGTTAATTATTTTAATAAATAAAACTTTTGATGCATTCTCTACAACTTTCAATAGTTTATTTCTGAGTTTCAATTCATTTGTTTAAAAAAAAATTAACTTAAACAATAACACATTGACGTTTTTCTAGTTTAACTGGTTTTTCATCCACATCAAAATGAATAAATTTTTTTACTGTTAAATCAATGATAATGTCCATAGTTTCTTTTACACCTTCTCCTGTTTTTGAAGAAACTTCAAAATATTGATTAAATGAATGTTTGAAAGTGAATGTCCTTCGTTGTTCTACAGGAATATCCATTTTTCCAAGGTCAGTTTTTGTTTGAATAATAAACCATAGTTTATCGTCTGTAATAAATCTATCAACATACATCATCCATTTTTGCATTTCTTCCATTCCTACATCTGATGGAAATAAAAAAATTATTGCATTGGCTTTCCTAAAAATTGATACTGTCTCATCTTCGTTATATTCACTTTGTCTAAATTCATGCAATTTAATTTCAACTTTTTCTCCATTCATTTCAAAATCTTTTAATCTCTTTTTGTATTAATAATCTCTTTTAGTTTTTAAAAATTTAATTTCTTTCAAATACTAAAAACAAACAGATTCTTCATGATCTAATTTTGAATCAAAATAAATATCATTAATATACCTTGTAATTAATGATGTTTTACCACAATCTTTTTCTCCTACAAAAAGAATATTAACTCCTTTTCCAAATTTGAATAATTTTCTGTTGATCATTGGTTCTTGATATTAAGTTCTTTTCATCAACTCTTTTCAATTTTTCAATTTTTATCTTTTTTTTAATGAAAAAAAAGCATCTAAAACGTATTTATAATTTCTTAGTTTAAATAAAATACGGAAGTAATATTTACTTAAAATAAGTTCTCTTCAAAGTGCATCTTAACTATTCTATTTTTTTCATACAATCGATAAGTGAATGTTCGTTTGATAATTAATAATTGTAAAAAGTTTTTAGTAGAATTATTTTCAAATTCTATTTATGTAAAACAACAGAATAAATAAATAATAAAATTAGGAATAATTTAAAAACAAAAGAATGTGCCAAAAATTAAAACATAATACAAAAAATTAAGAAAAAATATATCTCTATTGACTCAAATATTACTCACTCCCCTTCTTTTATTTTTTTTATTTTACACATAACTATTAAATAAATAACAACGCAAATATCATAATAAGAAATGTTGATAGATCATGGAATTATAAATAAAACATTCATTTATTTATTTCTATTTCCTCTTTGTTTGTACTTATTTTTCATTGAAATTTCATTCCCCATTAGAATCTAAATATATTAATGACAATATAAATGAGGTTACAAATGAATTAATTCATCTAACTATTTTTGGTAAAAGTATTTTTTCATGTTAAAGTTAAACAATAATTGTTTATGAAAAGAGATTTTTTAAACAATAAAATGGAAATTATATGCAGTTCAGAATAAATAATATGAAAAATACACGATCAAGAAATAGAGATTAATAAAATAAAGAATGTATAAAACAAATAACATTCATTTTATTAATTAATTTTAATAATATAATTCAACTACAATGAATCCTTTGTAATGAAAATAAATGAATCAATTATCATATTCTCAATTGAAAGAATTAATTTAATGTTTTTATAATATATGTACTAATGTATGATATAAAATGATTTTATTTCAATTACAACAATTGAAAAATAGTAGAAATCCATTCAATTAAATGGAAATAAAATAAATAGAAATGACTGTGTCATAATTAAATCGAAAGATAATTAGTATTTATAATGCTTTATAATTAAAACAAACAAAACATTAATAAATAAGTAAATTAATGTATTATGCATCACATTCAATATCATTTATTATATTAGGTGTTAGTTTAAAACATTATACTAATACAATGAAATACTTTTAATTAAATAATCAATTATATAAAAATAATGAATGAAATATAAACATATATTACAAGAAATAAATTTAAAAATAATGAACATAAAATAGAAAATAAAATGAATGAATATGTTATTACTCTCATTGTCATTTATTCTCTTTTATTTTTATTTCTCATTTTATTCTTTACATTTGTTTATATTATCATTTTTATGTTGTGAAATAAATCTTGTTTATTTGATTTATGTTTATTTCTTATTATATTAGATACTTTAAAAATAGTATTTCTAGAATACTACCAATTTTCATATCTAATTTCTTGTAATACTGTTTACCAATCATTATAAAATGTTTTGGCTATTTTATATTACATTTGTGCTTGAGTATTTTCTTTCTTCTTTTTGAGTTTAAATACAATTTTTTAATCATTGTAATCATTCTTTCACTATTTTATTATTATATTTCTGTATTATAATATTTCTGTTTTAATTCTTATTTATCATTTCGTTAAAGATTCTTTCTATTTCTATTTTATTTGTTTATTCTTTGTTTATTTATTATTGTTACTTCCTCAATACTTATTTGGATTAAAACTCTTTTGTTCTTTAATTAAATAATATTGATTGGTTATTTGTTACTGTGCAATTAATAATATTATCTTTATATTCTTATTGGTTTCTTTCATTATCTTCATCAATATTCATGAATAACAATTAATAAAAGAAAAGAATGAATATAAAATAAAATTACAATGATAAATAGATAATAATATAATGAATGTGAATATAATTTAAAAGAATTTAAGAATAATTATAAATTCAATAAGTCTTCTTATATTCATTATATTTCATTATTTATCTTGTTTATAATTTAATTTGATTATCAATTATTTATTCATTCTATTTGTTACTTCTTGTTTTTCTTATTCATTTTATCATCATTGATTTAATTAAACAAAAGAAGAAGTAAATTATTTAAATATTGATTATTGAATGGAAATGAGATGGAAATTGATGATGAATATAGTAAATAAGAGATTACTTCATCATTCAAAACCTTTCAACATTTGAGTAGTACAAATTATGGATAATACAAGTAAATGCTCCAAAGAACTTGTCTAAAATAAATACTTTGGTATTACTGTCATTTGTATTGAATATCCTCCGTATTGATACTCAACTTTCTTCACTCTTATTTAGCATTTTCTTCCATTCTTCCTTTAAATCCTCACATCACCACATAATATCAAATCAATACAAAAAATAAGAAACAAACTCAGATATAATTAAACTTAAATATTAAAACACAAATAACAATCAATAATAAAATCTGAAACAAAAATAAAAATAAAGTAATATAAAAATAGAATAATTAACATACAAACAATGAAATTTGAATGATAATAATATTAAATGGTTTAATTGAATAAAGAATAAGTAATTTAAGAATGTTTATAGAATTAAAAGTATAAAAATAAATATAGAATGAATAATAAGAATATAAAGATATGGACAGTAAAAATAAATAATGATAATTATTTATGTATTTAAGTCTTTTATTTTAAAAGTCATGATACTAAATTTGTTAGTTATTTCTTCTTTATGATTAGTATTATCTATTTTTTTCTTGAAGTGTTTTCTTCTTATTTTATTGTTTATTTTTTCTTCATCATTATATATTTATTGTTTATAAT